TGCAGACGAAGGAGAATTGGTAAGCATCTTTACTTCTATTTGTTTTTGTCGTGTTTATTCGCGTACTTGTATAACCAATCTTCTGTACGAGATTTTGGAAAAAAGAGATTTAAATGGTTTTCTACGTTGGCATTTTTGCGAAATGCTGTAAATTCTACGAGTACTGCGTGGTGGCTCATGCGGCCCAGTATAAGTCTGAATCTGTGGTAGCTGCCTCGCGATTTTCTACAAAGATTCATATTCGAAAACAACTTGTTTATTCCAAAGCTACTGCTCATACGTCACTTTAAGTACAGCAGTCGGTCAGGAGTCGCTTCCCTGTGTACTTGGTTTTTTTCTGTGCAAATCTACTATTTTACGGTGATCTTAAAAGCACACCCACACTATGAGTGGTGGAATGGGTGGTTATTTTGACGCTGAAAGTGGTTACTTCTATCACTTGAAAAAAATTTCGAAAGTGGTAATAGGTTATTTTGTTTTTGAATATTTCCTGAAGTTATTTGTTTGGAAATGTTGTTTGTTAACCGATGCACTATTTTTCTAGCGTTCAATATGGTGAATTGTTTAACAGGGCTCGCTAGTGCTGTAGATCGAGGCTAAAAGACGAAAAAAGGAAGTGTTCAGCAAAAGCGACATTCACAACTGATGGGAAGTACAGATTGATACAAGAGTGCAACCATCCTCCGGATCGCGCTTTGCCCGAGATAAAAAAGTTAAAGCGACAGATTCGAGCGGCAGTACAACAACCCAGGATAAAAAGCGTTAAACTCACGTATGATGACATTTACACAGAGTATGTTTCCTACTTCGTATAATCATATGTAGTAGTTTATGTATAGTTTTTTATTATGTTTAAATCTATATATATACATATATGTATATATATATAAATATATATATATATTTTAATGCACAGAGAGATGTACTTCAGTTTTTTGATCACGGTAGCTTTTAATCGTAATATAAGTAAGTACTATGCCCATTTTCCAGAAAATCAAATTCGTTAAACTTGATATTTTACGTGTACTTCTAATCTCGCTTCTAATATTTAAGAGCCTTACAATTAAAACGGGGGGGAGAAATACTTTCTAGACAGGCTTTAAAAATACACAACTTTTTTTCCGTTCTATACATCGGTTTTTTTTTCATCTGTAACGTTCGATGGCTTCGACTATACTGTTTCACCACTCACCACGTTTAAAAGAATTGAAATTCGAAAATTGACTTTTTGTTTGCATTGTTTTAACGATTTATCGGTTACGATTGAATAAATACTATGTTGATTCTATATTTTCTGGAGATTACATTTTTAACTTGTTATACATCATTCGATGATGTTTTAATTTTTGTACTATTGTAGCAATCCCACGGTGGGAAGACATTTTTTTCAGTACGAATCGTTGGAGCGTCATTTTTACCAACTGAAAACCAAAGTATCATTCGTGAAAAATCTGGGTAATTTGAGAGAGCTGCCTGTACTACATAAGCGATTTGATCAAGGTAACATCGCGTACAAGTATGGTACAGATATCAATTCGTTAAAATCTAAACTGGTGAACGACGGCGTACAGAGCCACCTCCTGTTATATGAAATGGAGTGTATCAAACTTTTTGAGGAAAAACCATTCGAAATTTGCTGCGGCGGAACCTTTGCGGTGAAGTCTAAAATCAAGGGCGTCGTTCAGTTTGTAACATTGATGGCGTACACTAATGAAGCAGTAAGTTTTGAGTACTATTCTGTCAGTTACAACGGTATTTCGCAACATTGTGCAGAAAGGATTATTTTCTTTACTCTGTTATTGTGTTTCCACCGTTCATGTTATGCATCTTTTATTTATTAACTACTGTTTTGGATTCGTCACATGAATAAATAACTCGAGACAATATATTCCAAGTACAGTTTCTGGAGCTTGCAATCAATTTTACATACTCTAGATAAATATCAGTGTGCGTTGATATGTCTGTGTGAACGTGCGAAATCAATCATATACCAGTATTGTAACGACCACTTATAAGAACTGGGGATTTTTGTGCTGATAACTTTCGTAAAAAATATTTTATTTTGATTAGTAAATATCTAAAGATTGGTTTTGTTTGTGAAAAAGCAAACTGTTTTGTATGTTGTAGTTTACTGGTTATATTAAAATAAAAAGCATCAGAATTTACTTATGTCGAAAAAAAAAAACAGCATTTTTCATAGTACACAAAAGACTTCTACATTTTCGTAAAAGACTCTTCAAATACACGAAAATGTTGGCACTGCGGATAATCCTTATCTTCGAGGCCGAAAAATGAATATGATGTGCCTTGCGGGACACCCTCTTTTTACGCTTTCAAAAATGATACATCGGGAAAACTGAAGGAATCAAAAAAATAATACTTTCAAGTTCAATCTTTTTACGTGTCACTCGGCACAGGGATACATTTCATCTTACCTACAAATGAATTGAAAGCTCTTGGAATAAGCTTTACTGTTTGCCCCGGTATAACTTAAAACCATGATCTGGTCTAAACGACAGGTAAGCATTAAAAATTTTCTATTCAAACTGTGATCCTTGGTCTGTAGTCAAAAATCTAGGAGCACCGTAACGAGCAACCTAGCGGTCCTGGAATGCTCGAAGCACGGTAGAAGCTTCGATGTTTGGGAGAGGTATAGCCTCAGCCCAACGAGAAAAACGATCGATGATGGTAAGCAAATAGGTAAAACCTTCGTGGGATAAGAGAACCCACTATATCCATATAGACATGACGAAACCTATCATCGGGTGCTACGTATTGGCTGGGCTCGTTCTTCACGTGGCTTGAAACTTTGGACTGTTGACAGTCTAGGCAACCTTTGCGCCAGGCCTAGATGTCTCTATGCATGACAGGCTAGACGAACCTCTGTTTGAGAAATTGATCGGTGACCTTAGGGCCTGGGAGGGAAAACGAGTGGATGAGGTCAAAACTCATTTTCGGAGCGTCTTAGATACATATGGACGAAGGATTTTGCTTGTTAAATCACAGTATAGTCAACTGTGTTTATGGCCAAGTTCAACGCTTTTGAGATTCAGCGAATGATCAGATGAATCCAGAAGTTGTTAAAGCTCGTCATCGTGCTGCTGATGTCGCACAAGCTCAGGCATCTCGAGTTCCAAAGGAAGACAAATAAGTTCGACTCCAGAGTAAGCGTCAGCGGCCACATCGTCTGATCCCGGAAAATGTTTTATTTAGGTAGTAAATTAGGAGATGAAACCTAGCTAACGTCGCTGGCAGGGCAAATCTTTGTCAGCTTTTTGCCTAAAAGCATAAACCAAGGGTTTATGGTCTGTAGCCGAAATGAAATGACTACCTTCTAAAATGTACCTGAAATACTTTATAGTCTCGAGAACAGCTCTCAACTCTCTATCATGGGCATTATAATTTTTCTGCACCGAGCTAAATTTATATGAAAAGAAAGCAAAGGGTTTCCAATCACCATCGATGAGTTGTTCGAGAGCAACCTCCGTAAACTGGGCACCCGTAATTAACAAATTAATTGATTGAATTGAGCAAAAAAATTGTGCTTCTTTTGCGCGTTCTAAGTATGTTTGTAGTTTAATTGTGCGTCATTTAGTTTTTATTTTATAATGAAAAATTGTTTCGGGTGCGATTCAAAATTAAAATTCAATTTACACAAAAACTAATTGAGCTACATCCATTTTTTGGACGCCAATCGATTGCGCGTTAAATGTGGCTTGAGACTAAATACTTACTGCATCAGTTGGGTTTATATTTATTATGAAAATTATAAAATATCGTATTTCTATTATTTGCAAATAGTCATATATTTTGTATGAGCTGAGCAGCTTGCACCCGTTTTGTATACTCTCTGGACTGGGACCAGTGTTCCCGATTGTAGGGAATTATGAAGCGCGAAAATTCAAAACCTTAAATAAATAACACAAGCACCTATCACCCAATGACCCGGGACGCTTACTGGCCACTCTATTAAATAANTTTGTTAAATCTGATAATTTTGTAGACAAAACACATATATCTGGTACTGAGAGTGGAGTTCAAATTTTATTAACTCTATTAATGAAATATAATGAAATCATTGTTCCGGTTTCTCAAGTTATCACTGAAAGAAAAAATAAAGAATTTTTCGATTATTTTTTGTGTGAGATATTAAGAGAAGCTATTGTGGCTCCAAAAAAAGGTGTATCTGGGCCTTCCCAAATTATATTGGAATCCAGCCAGTAAGCGCCCCGGGTCATTGGGTGATTGGCGCTTGTGTTATTAAACAACTATAAAAGTTTCTCACATCCAAATACGACTTAAAAATCTAGTTTCATGGTAAACAAGGTGTCTGTTGTACTGAATGAAAAAAATAAATAAATATTGATCTCTATTTATTTGAATTGAATCGCCCGCCAGAGCTTTGACTGGCATTCTCGAGACTGCAGGTGCCTCTGTTCGGATATATTAGCGCGAAATTTAAACATAATAAGACCATAAATAGTATAACGCAAGCTCTTTTTTTAATCTCCCACCACAATAACCTAATCGTTTAAATGCCATATTTCCATAGCTCAAGCATTTTAATCTCACAGCTATTTAAGCTGTTAAAACCTGTAAATAAAAGTTGAAATAGTTAATAAATAATTTGTTTGTATCAACAATAATGGTGTTGGTACAAATTTTAAACTTTTGTGCAGAGAAGTCAAACACTATTATTACGAGATAAATTGTTTATCAACTAGTTCAACTTTCATTCCCTTGGCAATTGGGTTTAAAGAACTTGGGTTATATATAATTAGGTTTAGTATATTTGAATTTCCTTCCAAACTCGTAAGGGACGGAGTATGAAATAAATAAAAAATAAATAAAATATATTTGAATTTCCCGCTGTGTACCCTATAGGTGTTTTCTTTCTTTCATCAGTTTCTGACATGTTTATGACATTTTGTACGTGTCGGAAATCCGAATTATCGGAAACTTCCATTTCATGACATTTATCCACCCATATTAATTTATTCTGGAGTGCTCCAAAACTTTAGTAACTTTGTAATTGTTTGCGTACTGTTTAGCATATTTTTCTACGAATTATAAATATTTAAAAAAATGTTTAAACAAGAAATACTAGGGAAAACAATCACCATATATTACTTGAATTAAGTTAAATCAAAATTCAATAAAAAAAAACATACACACACACATTTGATATCCTAACCTTAACCTGTAGACTTTATGGTTATCGTTTTGCAAAGGACAGGATTTATTTGGCTTCAAAATGGTAAGAGATGAGTCAAATTTTCTATTTGTAAATAAAATTATGCATATTATGACAAAAATCCGCATCAATGCATCGGTATAGTCAGTCTCTTAAATTTTTCTCACTTTGCATTGTATTTTTTTCTATGTAAGAATTATCCTGTAAGTTGCTATTTTATGTATTTATTTAATTCAATGCTTCAATACTTTTTTATCTTTCATTCGTTGCTGCTAAACTTGTTTTTAAATGTAAGTATAATGAATTTCCATTTTCATGCTTAATAACCTTTCTTTAATTAAGAACAACTACAAAGAAACGAAGGAGGAAAAAGGAGTCACTGGTGAAAAGATGCTGTGCACCTTAAAAGTATACATGATGATTATTTAAATGCTGTGGCTGCAAAAAATGCTTTCACACACAAATAACAAAAAAGAGGTATGTTAATACTTCAACATTTTAACAACTACTTTATTCTGCTGTATAAGATAAGTGTTTTTTGTAGGTATTATTGCGGGATTAATCATGTAAATTGAGAACATGGTTAAACATTCAGCTTGTTTATGGCCTGTAATAAACTTGGACAAAGTTTAAGCATTGACCACTATCTATTTAAAGATGCATCGAAGCATGTCAAAAGTAGCTAGTGTTGGTGCGTAATAAGCACATGTGTTCTTTTGTAAGAATAAAGTTATTTTTAAAATAGTATGCTTAAAATGATATACTAGATGAGTACTCTGTATTAAATTATTTTATTTGAAAAAAAAGTTTACAATGTAAATACTTGATTGTAATTATTCTTTTAAAGAAAATATGTAAACGTTGCACTTACAGGCTATTAGATGAGTAATATTCACATCTTACATAAAACTTTTAATGATATTGATTAATGATAATATTTAAATACATCTCAATTATAATTTAGCGTATACAAACAATGATATTTCTAAATTTGCAGGTAACTCGTCTTAGTAAAGGACGGTACTTTGAAGGTCATCTCTTTTTTCCCATACCCCGTCACTATAAGAGTATGACACATAGTGGGTCAGATCACCAGGTAAGATTTCAACTACTCCAATAATGGAGTAGTGTTTTTCTTTCACCGTTAATATGTATGGAAATTTAGTGTTAATTGAGATTCCTGCATTAGCTGTGAAAATACATTCAACTTCTATAAATAGCTGTTCTGCGACATCACAAATTTTTTTCATTTCCCGTTTTTTACACTGAGTGCAAACAATAAGTTCGGGGTTCTCAAAAATTTCAGTTATACATTTTTGTAACTTGTTGAATCCCCCTATATCATTGAGTATGTAAGGAGCAACTTCAAAAGGAAGCATCAATGTATTGTAGCACCTATACTGTTTTTGAAAATAACAATTTTCACAACTTTTTTTTGTTTCTATCAGGAAGCAATCTGAATCACCTAGGAGAGTATCAATTAATTGAGCTGCGTTGATTCTACAGTCAACAGTATTTTTGTTTATTTTTCCAATGGGATGTAGTATTTTTGCTCTATTTACATATAATTGTTCCAAACAGAATTCAGAATGCACATATGTATGGATTGAACGTAAATACTGATTTTGGTGGCCACTGTCAATATAACGTCTCAAGTTTTTGTTGTTATTATAACCGTGAGATAAAATTTCAGTTAACGAGTCAAAAGCACACGTGTTCGTGTACTTTGTTTTTACTTGCTCAAAAGTTAAAGCACCAGAAATCGATCCATTTTTTATTAAAGGGGACACGGTGGTCATTAATTCTTCGAATGATCCTTGTTTTTCAAACTGGTTTTGATTGTCAATATCAGGTTGACCAAAAGCATTGGTCTCTCTCTCAATAAATGGCTGTTTTATGTAGTCGGGCTGATCTTTTATTTCCTCTATTTTTTCAAATACTTGTTTTTGCAAATTGTCTGTTAAACTCATATTGTTTGGACTTTGGCTGCAGACTTGATGCAGCTTGTTATTTTTCAAAGCTGCTTTTAAAAGTTTCATTCTGCCATCTAAGAGATCTAATTGACGAAGAACAAATTTATTGGCGCTTATCAGATAGCTTATATAATCTAATTTTCGAATTTCCCTGAAATGAGCTTCTGATCTTGCTGAAGTAGCTGCTTCAAAAGGGGAATTGTAGTATTCAAACATTATGCTTGTCCATGACGGTATTTGTGAAAAAAGATAAAAAATATTATCTCTAATATCTGGGCAATAAAACGGATTAGGTAATGAAAANTAAAAGTTTCATTCTGCCATCTAAGAGATCTAATTGACGAAGAACAAATTTATTGGCGCTTATCAGATAGCTTATATAATCTAATTTTCGAATTTCCCTGAAATGAGCTTCTGATCTTGCTGAAGTAGCTGCTTCAAAAGGGGAATTGTAGTATTCAAACATTATGCTTGTCCATGACGGTATTTGTGAAAAAAGATAAAAAATATTATCTCTAATATCTGGGCAATAAAACGGATTAGGTAATGAAAACAAATTTTCGTTGTTATCGCAACGAGTCAGAGCCTTTTGATATATGTGTTCTATGTATTCTCTGATGTTATTTCCTGTCAATAGCTCAGCAGTCTCTTCTTCATTTTCAACATCCTCATAGCCAATTACTCTTTCTGTGTCATTTTCTAACATACTGTCCACATATGGTTAGTCGTCGAAATTTTTGAATTTATGTATTAACCATTCTTTTCGTTTTTCAATCTCTGACTCAGGATAATAAGTCGAATTCATAGATATGATGAATATAGCCCTTAGCACATTTTCAATTATTTCAATCTTATCAACTTGAGTGCAATATCCTATGCATCTCTTATAAAAATCTTTTACTATGTAATTTTTATTTTTAAATCAGTTCCATTTCGTAGTAGCGTGCATTATATGGGCCCTATCAGACCGAATAAAACAAGGTTTAGTTATTGGACATTTCTGAGTTAGTACATCAAGACAGGAACATTAATACTCTTTATATGTGCATTTTTTGTAAGCCAAACAGATAGCATTGAGTAAAGCCATCGAACCGTCTGTTGTAACTTTATCTGGAACTGGAGCACAAGCAATCATTGATTTGTTTAAGGCAAATTTAAGAGTGTTTGTATCGTGTTTTTCGCTCAACAGTTGCCAAAGTGGAACAATTTTGCCCAGAGCTTGTGTAACCATGACATACAAAAAAATATATCCTGTTTGGTCATCTCAAATTGTGACACTCTTAACAAATTTTCCTGATGCGTCAATTGATACGCACAGCTTATCTTTCTTTTTCAACTCTTGCCACAAAATCAACTGTTCATCGGTCCAATACGAAACCACAAAAGGAAATTTACGGATTTCTCTAATGCCTGGGTGACCATTATTTTTTAAAAATAATAATGACTTAAAGACTGCAGTAGGACCTTTCCATTGCAGTGCCTCATCAATTGCTTCCTGTCTTGCTTTTCTAAGGGTCATGGATGTTTGCATAAAAGCTGGTTCAACATCAGAGTAATTTAATTGTTTGCCTTCTTCCTTTCTGTTACAGCTAGACTTTACGTATAATAATTTTTTTCCTGCGGCTTTGCTGGCTTGACCTCTTAATTTCCTTTTTTTTAAGTAGTGAATGTTTCTGGTGTCAAATGTACTTATTTTTATAGATACAGTGGTACTGTTCATCGAAAACTGTCTTGGACATTCTCCACAAAAATATGTCAAACATTCAGTGCAATAACCATGAAACTCAAAGAATGGAATCGTTTCATCAGAAAAGAACTTGTTATTTTTAAAAGCATACTTACAACATAATTTCTGAGATTCCCAAAATTTTTTTAACATTACATCTGTCCATTCATTACTCAGAGTTGTATAAGTTCTATTATCTGCATAAACTACACTAACTGGTTTAATACTTTCCCACTCTTTTTGATTCAGATGAATTGAAAATTGTAAAGCCTTGCAACAATGAGGGTTTGGGTCTTGCGTAGTATGTTTAGCAGTGAATTCGGATTCGTTGTACTCATTATTTACTGAACTATCAGACTCGTTTTCTATGTTACTGTCGTTAGGAATAATGTATTTGAAAGGTTTGTTGATGTTGAAATGATTTTGTAATTGCAGCAAAATATTTTGTCTGTTTTGTTGAACAAACAAGTGAAGATTATGCCTTTTTGATTTTGTGATCCAACAACTCACATGTTGTTTCCCATACAATATTATTTTCAACAAATAGTTTTCCTGTTTCATCAAAAACTTGTAAATTTTTTAGAACATTAAAAATTTCTTCAGCTTGAACTACAGCTTTTGCAGGCATTTTAGCTTACTTTTATTAAAAAAATTCAGTGTCTTATGGTTATATTAAAATAAAAAGCATCAGAATTTACTTATGTCGAAAAAAAAAAACAGCATTTTTCATAGTACACAAAAGACTTCTACATTTTCGTAAAAGACTCTTCAAATACACGAAAATGTTGGCACTGCGGATAATCCTTATCTTCGAGGCCGAAAAATGAATATGATGTGCCTTGCGGGACACCCTCTTTTTACGCTTTCAAAAATGATACATCGGGAAAACTGAAGGAATCAAAAAAATAATACTTTCAAGTTCAATCTTTTTACGTGTCACTCGGCACAGGGATACATTTCATCTTACCTACAAATGAATTGAAAGCTCTTGGAATAAGCTTTACTGTTTGCCCCGGTATAACTTAAAACCATGATCTGGTCTAAACGACAGGTAAGCATTAAAAATTTTCTATTCAAACTGTGATCCTTGGTCTGTAGTCAAAAATCTAGGAGCACCGTAACGAGCAACCTAGCGGTCCTGGAATGCTCGNAAGAACTTGTTATTTTTAAAAGCATACTTACAACATAATTTCTGAGATTCCCAAAATTTTTTTAACATTACATCTGTCCATTCATTACTCAGAGTTGTATAAGTTCTATTATCTGCATAAACTACACTAACTGGTTTAATACTTTCCCACTCTTTTTGATTCAGATGAATTGAAAATTGTAAAGCCTTGCAACAATGAGGGTTTGGGTCTTGCGTAGTATGTTTAGCAGTGAATTCGGATTCGTTGTACTCATTATTTACTGAACTATCAGACTCGTTTTCTATGTTACTGTCGTTAGGAATAATGTATTTGAAAGGTTTGTTGATGTTGAAATGATTTTGTAATTGCAGCAAAATATTTTGTCTGTTTTGTTGAACAAACAAGTGAAGATTATGCCTTTTTGATTTTGTGATCCAACAACTCACATGTTGTTTCCCATACAATATTATTTTCAACAAATAGTTTTCCTGTTTCATCAAAAACTTGTAAATTTTTTAGAACATTAAAAATTTCTTCAGCTTGAACCACAGCTTTTGTAGGCATTTTAGCTTACTTTTATTAAAAACATTCAGTGTCTTATTTAAATCATATTATTTTGTTATTTTTTTCAACTTCGCGATTTTTTTAACTAGAGTAACAATAAACGTACATAAAATAACTACAGTAGCGATAACTGAAAAAATTGTTAAAAAGCAAGTACAAGTATGTTTAGTTCTCCCACGTATTATTAACTAACTCAGATAACATTGACTCTTAATTTTTATTGGCTTAGATATTTGCAAAATAATTTTTAATGGCGCTATTTTTTGAAAAATCAAAAAGTAATTTAATCGGTATAACAGCATTCTCATGTACCCAAAACTTCTTACTTAACTGGAACGGTTCCACTATTTTTATTACTCTATTTAAAAAATAAATATATA